ACTGCATTACTACTTTAGACATTCCATTGCCTGGTAATTCTACCAATAAGAAAAATCCTTCCTATGTTTAATGAATATTATTATGTCATGTTGATCATTAGCTTAAAAATGCGTCCCTTATGGCGCTAAACCTTTTCTTTAGACTTTAATTTTCATTTTACCATGTAATTTATAATGGAGTCTTTTATTTTTCTCTCCTAGTATGCCTAACATTTTCTTACAGATATAGGAACCACATATTTTGAACCACATATCTTCACCCAATATCTGAAATATGCCCAGAATATGTCAGAGGGCAAGATCAAGATGATTCATGAAAATTTCCTGTGTATTATCTTTTCTGTATTCATAAGTAGTACTTGACAATATCTTCTCTGTCTTTACTTCTCTCCTTCCTGCTTCGCAGGCTTTATAGCTACATTACCACTGACATTGAGTTGATTTAAACTTATAATGATCTTGTAGGGCAGCATATAAGTGGCCCTTTAGATTTCCAAGGCTGTAGATATTTTTATGATAGTGGAAATCCTTATCTTTCTCCTGTTTATGTCTACATATCAATATAAATATTAATATAGGCACAAATATAATAATATGCACATAGCTATTGAGATAATTTTTATTGATATTGGCTATTTCATAGTAATTAAATGTAGGCCAAGATGAAAATACATTTGTACTTTAAAAAAAATTTTATTTTTAGTTTTTATGTATCATCTTTTTCTAGGTAGTATCTAGTAGTCATTCCGTAAGTGTTCAGTGGATGAATAAATGATTGGATTTGTAGATTACTCTTAAAATCTAATTGATCCCAGATAATTATTTCCTGGGCACTTGACACTGGATTGTGTAGTTCAGATAATATCTCATGTGGTTAGTAAAATGGGGAACTGCATATTAAATGAAGGACATATCACAACAAAATATGACAAAAGTCCAATGTGCACAGTATAAATTTGACAGCTATGAATAGGCCTTGATAGTTTTTGTAATAATCCCTAATCTTTTTATTCTATTATCAGTTATATGTGAATAATGTCTGAAATCCCTCTGTCATCTTAATTCCATTAGCCATAG